CCCCCCCCCCCCGCCCCGTCCCGCATCTCCGGGCGGGGCGGGGCTTCACCGGCGGCTGCGCAGATCGCCCCCAAACACGCCCCCAAACCCTGGCCGCGGTGTCCCGTGAGTCACTGGAGGGTGCGCCCCGCCACCTCGGCCCAACTCGGAGGGCCTCGCAGGCGCTGGGCTTGGTCGCCCCCCCTCTCCCAAACTCCCTGTTCCCCTCGGCCCTCTCCAGACCCCGGGAGGCACAGGGGACCAAGGACCCCCTCATCCTAGGAGCAAGAGGAACAGCGTTGGTTTCTGGGGGGACGGATACAAGAGTGCGGAATTTGATGGGGAGCTCCTGTCGGGGGAGTTCAGCCCTGGGCCCGAGAGGCCCGGGTGCGATATGGCGAGAATCATCACAGTGGACAAGGAACTGGAAAGAGGAAATTTATGTCCTTTTTCTTTTGGTCCAAGACCAGGACTTGCTTTACCCCCCTGAGCCGCGCCCCCAACCCCCGGAAATATGAACTTTAATTAAGGGCAGATCAAGGAAGTAGCAGGCAACAGGGAGGTCAGGGTCAAGTTCTGTTGAACGCGCCTGGAGGGAAGTGTCCAGTTTTGCCATCACTTCTGGGGACCCAGCTTGCCTTGGTCTGCGGCAGGGGCTGCGGCCGGGGCAGTGGTGGGGCCAGCGGGGACCGGGCCAGCGCGGGAAGCTGCGGTGCCTAGAGGAGGGCAGGGAAGGGAAGGGGAGGGGAGGAGAGAGGCCAGGTAAGGCCAGGACCCTGGGGAGCCATTGTCGTTCAGACTTAGTTGTCCTGTTAAGCGTCTCCTAAGGAAGCCCATTATATATATATATATATATATATAATATGTATATGTATATATGTATATATATTACATATATACATATGTAATATACATACATAACATATAACATACATATATAATATGTGTCTATATATCTATATATAATTTTTATGGTACTGGGGCTTGAGCTCAGGGCCTAAGTGCTTTCCCTTAGCTTTTCTGCTCAAGGGTGGCACTCTGCCACTGAACCCACACTTCTACTAACTGCTTTTTGTTGGACATAAGAATTTCAAGGGTTTTTCTATCTGCCAGGGATGGCTTCCAAACTTGATCTCCAGATCTCAGCCTCCTGAGTAGCTAGGATTACAGGTGTGAGCCACCAGCACCTGGCAACCACCTCTGATCTGTGTGTGTGTGTGTGTGTGTGTGTGTGTGTGTGTGGAGGGGGGGGGAGGAAAGAGAGGGTGCCCGGAGCCAGACTGGAGGCTGCCCCCCTCCCACCCTGGGGCACCACCACCAGACCTTTCTGTCCTCCCTCAGTGGATGGTTCTTGAACTGCAGCGCCCGCTGTTGCCACTGTAACACAAGGATAAGAGTCTTTAGACACCACTGACTAAGGAGCTCCTCCGTTGCTCTTTCCCCTAGTTCTTCAGGGAGAGCTGAGTTTGAGATGAAGTCTTCCAGCCAGCCAGTGAGGAAGTGAGAGGCATCAGCCCTTTTCCATGTCTTTGGATGGTGTGTGTGTGTGTGTGTGTGTGTGTGTGTGTGTGTGTGTACTAGACCTTGAGCTCAGGGCCTGGGTACTGTCCCTTTAGCTTTTTCACTCTAGGCTAAACTCTACCACTTGAGCCACAGCTCTACTTCTGCCTCTTTGCTGGTTAACTGGAGATGAGTCTCACAGACTTTCCTGCCTGTGCTGGCTTTGAACCCTCAGATTCTCAGATCTCAGCCACCTGAGTAGCTGGGATTACAGGCATGAGCCACAGGCACATCTGGCTTCTTTAGGTGTTCTTACTAACTTGTAAGCCCCTTCTGTCCTGTTTTCCTCCCCATCCCCAAGGATCAGAAGAGAGCTCCCATCGGCTGTGGCTGCTGCTGGACATAAAGGGGGCTCAGTTCCTACCTTGAGTGCACTTGGCCTTTATCTTTTACTTTTATCATGGCCTCTTACTACGTCCCATCCCCCACTCAGTGGCTCCCTTCTAAAAGGTCATACAGGCCCAAATGGCAGTTGTTGTCACTCACCAGCTAACTTAAGGTATGAAGAGAAGAAATGTAGAAGGGAAAGAAACTTCCAGGATCTAGCCATCTCCTCTAGACCAGAGTTTTTCCACTGTGGTGAGTGGAGTTTCCAGGGGCTCACATAGATCAACATGTTCAGCAAGCTAGCAAGTATCTGACTTGACCCCGGGCTGCTGGGTATGTAGCTCAGTGGCAGATACCTTGCTTAGCATGCACAAGGCCCTAGGTTTGCTCCCTAGTGCCCCCATCCTTACCAGAAACAAAAAAAACAAGTCAGAGGCAAGGTGCTGCCCATGCTTATAATCTTAGCTATTCAAGAGGCTGAGATCAGAAGATCATGGTTCCAAACTAGCCTAGGCCACAGAGTCTGAGACTCTTATCTCCAATGGACCAGCAAAAAGCTGGAGGTAGAGCTGTGGCTTGAGTGTAAACTAAGGGACAGTGCCCCCAGGCCCTGAGTTCAAGCCTCAATATTGATTATGCACCCCCATAAGAAGCCACAGAGTAGGAGTCTTTGCACTCAACTTCCAGATGGGAAAAGTGAGACCCAGAAGAAAGACAGAGCATTCTTGGGGAGATTTTAATCTATTGCCTGTTGCTGGGGTGCTGGGGAAAGAGGGAGTTGGCTTGGATAGTATCTCCTTCTGCTCCTCCTCTTCTTTCTTCTCCTCTTCCTCCTTCTTTCTTCTTCTTCTTTTTTTTTTGTGATAGTCCTGGGGCTTGAACTCAGGGCTTGGTCACTGTCCCTGAGCTTCTTTTGCTCAAGGCTAGCACTCTACCAATTGTGCCATAACACCACTTCCAGCCTTTTCTGTTTATGTGATACTGAGGAATCAAACCCAGGGCTTCATGCATGCTAGGCAAGCACTCTACCACTAAGCCACCTTCCCAGCCCCTGTTGAGGTCTTCAAAGTAAAGAAAGGATTTTTTTTTAGAGGGGGTAAAAACAACACCCCTCCCAAATTTTACCCTATCTTCTTCCAGGAGACCCCAGCAAATATAGGTCCATGAAGAGGTAGCCACAGCCAGCTTTCCATGTCTGCCTGGGCTTTTGCCTGGCCTGAGGGCTAGAGTGGACACCAGCAATACCCAAAGCTTAGCTTGGGTCTCCCTCAGCCATCACCCCTGGCCTGGTCCAGGTGGGTGTTCTGTGGCTCCTCATCTCAAGAAGATGAGGCCCAAGGACTTCCAGAATGCTCAGACCCTCACAACTGCCACGATGCCCAGGTGAGTGCACCTACTGGTGCCAAGGGACAGCTCTGGACTCACCTGCTTCTGGGACAGTGCCTTCCACCTGGGGCTTCAGGTCCTTGCTACCCTTGCTGGCCATAGCTTCAACGAGTGCTCAGGGCTGCAAGACACTGTTGGATCCTGCTGACTCTGTCCACCTGGGTTTTTTAAGGCATTCCCAAAAGCCAAGGCAGGCCCACCCTACAGGAGGGCGGTTCCAGTTGACTGCCTCAAAGGTGTGGCGTGTGTGTGTGTGTGTGTGTGTGTGTGTGTGTGTGTGTGTGTTTTGCTGGCCCCTAGAGGGCTCATACTGAGAAAGTGAGACCTTCAGCAGGAGGGAGAGAGAGGGATGAGGTGTGCAGAGGTCTGGGATTAGGGTCCTGAAAGAGACTAGGGACAGAGATATCTTCCCTCACCTAGCCAACCCAACCAGTATCTTCCTCCTCTACTTTGAGGATCCCCTGGTGATCTGAGGTCAATGCTAAGTTGGGAGCTCAGAGCTGAAATTGTTATAAATACTAGCAGTTAATATTCAGTATACAGCCTGGTGCCAATGGTTCACTACTGTAATTCTAGCTCCTCAGGAGGCTGAGGTCTGAGGATCAAGGTTTAAAGCCAGGTGAGGGCAGGCCTGTGAGACTGTTATCCAATTAACTACCAAAAAAGTGAACATTTGGCTCAAGTGGTAGAGTGCTAGCATTGAACACAAAAGCTCAGAGACATCTTAGGCCCTGAGTTCAAGCCCCAAGACCAGCGCGCGCGCACACACACACACACGACACGTATCATGTATGTGTGTGTGAGAGAGGGGGTGGAAGGAAGAGAGGGTGGGAGGGAGGGAGGGAAAAAGGGGGGAGGGAGGGAGGGAGGGAGAATGGAACCAGATAACTTGAAGGGATGGCTAGAGTTGGGAGAGCTGGGGGAGAACAATGGAAGAGGTGATATTGATCAGATGCACTGTACTCATAAATTGACATGTTGAATTAAAACCCCTTTGTAAAGCTATTTAAAGATAATAACACACACATATACCTGTACACACTTGTGTGTGTGTGTGTGTGTGTGTGTGCCAGTCCTTGGGCTTACACCCAGAACCTGGGTGCTGTCCCTGAGCTGTTTTTGCTCAAGACAAGTACTCTGCCTCTTGTGCCACAACTCTACTGTGGCTTTTTTGATAGTTAATTGGAGATAAAGAGTGTCACCACCTTTCTTTGCCAGGCTGGTGTGGAACCTTGATCCTCAGCTCTCAGCCTCCAGAGTAGCTAGGACTATAGGTGTGAGCCCCCAGCGCCCAGCTTTGCAGTTGTTTCTTATTGATCACTTATCATATGCTAGGTGCTTCGCTGATGCTTTATAGTCTCTGATATAATGTTTACAATCACCTAGTGAATGAGTGTTATTATTTAGCATCCATTTGTAGGAGGAAACAGAGGCAGGTGAGTTAGGATTAAATTGGCCACTGAGTGGCACTCATTAGACACTATGTTGCAAATGAACTATATACAATTTATCAGTGGGGATGGGAGGAAAAAAACTGGGAGAGAAACTGACAGAAGGGGTGACACTGTCCCAGAAGAAATGTACTCTTTATTTGACTTATAATTTGACTTATGTAATTGTCATCCTTCTGCACATCACCTTCATAATAACAATAAAAATAAATATATAAATAAGTAAAATAAAATAAATTGGCCACTGTGGGCCGTGAACCAGAGGGCCCTGGCAACTACAGAACCTTTTGTCCCCCTGTGTCCAGTTGGCCCTGCAGACTGGCTATCTGCGCCATGGCCACTGGGACCTGGGTAGGAGGAAGGGAGTACTAGGTAAAGACCCTAAAGAAGATGAGAACCTGGTAGAAATGAGGAAGCTGTCCCCTGAACGAGGCAGGGGACAATGACTGCACATGTCACCAAAGCCCAGCTAGTTGGACAGGAGGGACAGTTCAGAGAGGGCAGGCATGCTCAGGGGATGCTAACTTTTCTTTCCCCCAAAGGAGTAATTCTGGGGCTTGAGACAATCAAGAGGCACTAGAAGGGAAGTTAGGGGCTTGGTGGGGGAGCTAGGGATTCTAGCATAGCAGCACCTCCTGCTCCCGCTCAAGGTGACCTTACACAGGTCCCTTGCTATTAGCCTTACCACATACCCCTCTCTGTCTCCAGGCCCAGCATTGCTCATTGGTGTCTGTCCATCCTGTCTATCTATCTATCTATCTATCTGTCTGTCTGTCTGTCTGTCTATCATCTATCTATCTTTGGACTGATACTGGGCTTTGAATTCTGGGCCTCAAGCCATGGCTCAAGCTTTTTTTGCTAGTTCATATGTATGTATGTATATATATGTGTATATATATATATATATATAGAGAGAGAGAGAGAGAGAGAGAGAGAGAGAGAGAGAGAGAGTGCCTTAGCTACTTAGGAGGCTGACATCTGAAGCCAGCCCATGCAGAAAAGTCCAAGAGACTTATTTCCAATTAACCACAGAAAGGAAAGAAGGAGGGAAGGAAGGAAGGCAGGAAGAAAGAAAGAAAGGAAGGAAAGAAGGAAGGAAGGAATGTAGGAAGGAAGAAAGTGGAGCTGTGGCTCAAGTGGTAGAGTGCAAAGCTTTGGGACATTGCTAAGACCCAGAGTTCAAGCTCTAGAAGCAGCAAAAAAATAAAAATAAAAATTCCCAGGTGTGTTTGCTTAAGCTAGCTTCAAACTACCATCCTCAAATCTTGGCCTCCTGAGTAGCTAGGCACCTGGCTTTGCAATTTTTTTCCATTCATTCTCTGCCCCTCTCAGAGTCTCTCTTATTCTAGAGTTTCAGGGAGTCTCTGCCCAGGCCCTGTCTGCTGGCCTGTGTCCCCTGGTTTGTTAGTAGAGAGTCAGCCCTTAGCTTGGACTTTCTAGAAACCCAGGTACGTGCTGGGCAACCCTGGGTAAGAGGAAGGAGCAGGTGGTGAGGTTAGGTGAGGGACAGAATGGAGTGCAGGCACAGACATACAAAACTCCCTCCTAGGGGCTGGGAAGGTGGCTCAGTGGTAGAGCGCTTGCCTTGCATGCCTGAGGCCCTGGGTTCGATTCCCCAGCACCACATAAGCAAAAAGCAAAAAGCTGGAAGTGGCACTGTGGCTCAAGTGGTAGAGCGCTAGCCTTGAGTTGAAGAGCTGAGGGACAGCGCCCAGACCCAGAGTTCAGGCCCCACAACCGGACCCAAAAACAAACAAACAAACAAACAAAACCTCCCTCCTGGTACCAGCAGCAGCAGCACTGCAGGGAGGCTTGGCTGCTGTCTGCCTACTACAGGAATTCCCGGAGCCCAGCCCAACCCTGTCTCAGCCCTGCCAATCCTCCCAAAATCCCATTAGTTAGCATCATGCCCATCCAGGAAAGCCTCTGCCACTGCTTCAGTTCATGTCACAGCTGTTGGTACTAGTTGCTACTGGGGCCCATGATCAGTAAGCAAGACCAGAAGGCAGGAACCTCTGCATGGAGGAGCAGCCAGCCCTGAGAGATAATGGTAGGGACAGCTCAGGATGGCCAGACAGCAGCAGACACTGGAGTTAAACTACTATCTTGAATTCTGATACCCCCAGGACATTCAAGTTTATTTCTCTGAGCCTTGGTTTCCCCAACTTTTTTTTTCTTTTTGCTTATGTGGTGCTGAGGAATCGAACCCAGGGCCTCAGGCATGCAAGGCAAGCGCTCTACCACTGAGCCACCTTCCCAGCCCTGGTGTCCCCAACTTTAAGGAAAAGACACTAACAGGGGTTTGAACTCAAAGGACTTACAATTTTGCTTGACCTTTTTACTCAAGGCTGATGCTCCACCACTTGAGCCACACCACTTCTGGCATTTTGCTAGTTAATTGGAGATAAAAGACAAGGACTTATCTGCTTGAGCTGGCTTTGAACCACAGTCCTCAGATCTCAGCCTTCTGTGTGGCTAGGATTACAGGTGTGAGCCACCAGCACCTGGCTTCCAGGGTATTTTTTGTAAGGATTAAGTGGACTGCAGGTAACTGTCAATGAAGACCCATCTATTTACTGGCCTGTCAAGTTGTTGGGGTAGCACAAAGATTTACTGGAACTGCCTGCAAGACCCTGGCAAGAATCGTCTTCACTAGGCAGAGGTTTCAAGCTCCTTCTGGCCTAAAGCCAGAAGGTTGGGGAGGAGAAAGAGGGCTTAGGGTAGGAAAGGATGGCTGGCTGGAGACTTTTGGGCGCCTCTCCGGTGATCTGGAACTGATGTGAACCCTGGTAGTGGTTCACAGGCAATCACAAGGCCATGAAGAACCTATAAATCTTAAACATTCTTATCTTGGTGACTTCCAGCCTAGAGGGATAGGAGAGAGATCAGGTGAGTTTCAGACAAATCTGTTTTTATGACCAGTCCTAGACAAACATGCCTACCAACAGAGTTAAAGGTTGACCCAGAGGTTAGGGCGCCAAAGGAGAGAGATAGGAGATGGCAGTAGAGATGCCAGGCTTTGTCAGTCTGTGTTAGTCATCCATTGGATATTTTCACAGACTCAAGTGAACTTGCAGCAAACACAGCCTTATGGCCATTCTGAAAAAGAATCAGCAGAAGTGCTGTTGATGGAAAAATTAGTGGGGACTAATGATAAGTTCTTTAGTGATGTGACCTCTAAAATCAGTGTTTTGATTAGTTAATATTTTTTGTAGGGGAATGCCAGATCTGGGATTTGAACTCAGGGCCTTATGCTCTTGCTTAGTGCTTTTTGCTCAAGACTTGCTTTCTATCACTTGAGCAACATGTCCATATCTGGCTTTTAACTGGTTAATTGGATATAAGAGTCTCACACAAAGTTTTCTACCCAGGCTGGTTTTGAACAGTGGTCTTCAGATCTTAACCTCCTGAGTAGCTAAGATTACATGTGTGAGTGTTGGTATCCAGCTTAGCTAATTATTGTTTTGTTTGGTGATATTAGGATTTGAACTCTAGTTACTAACTTGCTAGGAAAGCATTCTATCACTGGAGCCACATTCTCTGTGTTTTATTTTATTTTTTAGTTTTTGGTTGTTCGTCGGGGCTGAACTCTGGGCCTGGGTGCTGTCCTTCAGCTTTTCAACTCAAGATTAGTGCGCTACCATTTGAGCAACAGTGCCACTTCTGGCTTTTTTCTGCTTATGTGGTGCTGAGGAATAGAACCCAGGGCCTCATGCATGCGAGGCAAGCACTCTACCACTGAGCCACCATCCTAGCCCATTTTATTTTGTTTTATTTTTCTCCTGTGTTTTATTTCATTTTTTAGTACTTATCCTAGAACTTGAATTCAGTGCTTATGCATTCTCTCTAAGCTTGTGCTTAAGGCTAGCGCTCTACCACTTAAGCCACAGCTCCACTTCCCGCTTTTTGTAGGTTCACTGAAGAGTCTCACAGACTTTCCTATCTGGGCTGGCTTTGAACTTCCATCCTCAGGGCTCAGTCTCCTGAATAGCTAGGACTAACTATAGCTACCAGCACCCAGCTTTTATTGTTTTATTTTATTTTAAGTTCTCACTATATAGCCTAGCTTGGCCTTGACCTCAAGATCCTCTTGCCTGGATTATCCTGTGTGCCTGCATTATAGGCATGCAGCACCTTAATATTAGTGATTTCTTTTGCCAGTTTGGTTTTGAATCTTGATCCTCAGATCTCAGCCTCCTAAGAAGGTAGGATTACAGGTGTGCGCCATAAATACCAAGCTCAGCATAGGTCTTGAGTGTGTACTTAATAGTAGAGGGAGGTGCACCAAGGACCCTTACAGCCTCTTTTAGTGGAGGCAGAGAACTCTAGGAGCCTGCTAAATATCCACAGGGGCCAGGACCAGGAGCCCTCTCTCTGAGCTCTTAGCCACCAAGCTGACCTTCTTCTCTTTGCTTTTTCTCAGCAGTGGCTTACTTCTGGGCATGCACAGCCTGCTGATGTGTTGGTGTTGGGGACAGGAGAGCCCTGACTGCCCTGAGTGTCCTCTGGTGCCTTCATTCCTTCCCAGGGGACCAGCAGTCCCTGGCATCTTCCTGTCTTCCCAACAGTAGATACCCATGGGCAAGCTACTAGGGCACACCCAGCTCCGCTGTACCTGACTGGACTCCCAGCCTCTGGTCTGCCCTTGACCTCTGCTTTTCACTGCAGTGGGGGCAGGGCAGTCTCTGGAGTCATATGTGGATTCAGGCATTGGTGCTGGCACTTAGGACTGGCAGCCTGCAGCAAGTCCCTTCAAAGCTCTGTCCCCAAACTGGACATCAAAGGTGAGGGTGGGGGTGTCCAGGGAACAATATTCCAAGAGCAAAATGGAGAGTCCTCGTGCTGGACACTGGCCTGGCTAGTGTCAGGGGTATTTTGAAATTTTGGGGGTGGGCATGGCATGGATTCAACTGAGTGAAAAGTTTGTGCTCAGTTCTCTCTCTCTCTCTCTCTCTCTCCCTCTCTCTCTCTCTCTCTCTCTCTCTCTCTCTCTGTCTATGTACCTGTATTGAGGCTTTAGATTTTTCACTCAAGGATGGCATTCTATCACTTGAGCCACAGCTTTGCTTCTGCCTTTGTGGTGGTTAATTGGAAATAAGAGTCAAGGATTTTTTTTCTGCCCTGGCTGGCTTCGAACTTCTATCCTCAGATATCAGCCTCCTGAATAGCTAGGATTACAAATGTGGCCATTGGTGCCCACTCTGCTCAGTTCTGATGTTTCTTAGTTCTGTGCCCTTGGGCGAGTTATTTATTTTTTTTGTAATTTTTAGCATACATTACCTGCGAACAGGGAGCGTGTCTTCTTATGACATTTCCACGTATTTATACAATGTATCAGATCACTCTTACCCCTGAATCATATTGGGGCTTGAACTCAGGGCCTAGACACTGTCCCTTAGCTTTTTCACTCAAGGCTGGTGCTCTCCCACTTGAGCCAAACCTCCTGGCTTTTGCTGGTTAATTGGAGCGAAGAATCTCATAGACTTTACTACCTGGGCTGGCTTTGAACCAAGATACTCACATCTCAGCCTCTTGAGTATCTAGGATTACAGGTGTGTGCCACCAGCACTTAATCTTGTCATGTTCTACAACCCCAACAGGTTTCCAGGAGCAGGAATGAAAGCCCCGCCTCTGAGAGGTGGAAGGAGCTTGGGGTCACCTCATCTCTGCTGGGGTGAATATTTCCCTGTCCTGCTGTGGGTTTAGGCTTTGCCATCTTTGCAAGTTACTTCCTGCTCTAGGGAGGATATCCCTGATCTCCAAAGATGTCACCAGAGCTGAAGATGTGCATAGTATCCTTACCCTGCCCACCTCAGGCTCCTCAGAGGACAGTGCGGACCCCCTCAATGTCCACTCCAGTGGGGTCCATTCCAAACAGTAGCTGAGCGCAAACGGGGGACAAGCCAGGTGCTAATGGCTCCCACCTATAATTGCGCAGGAAGCTGAGAGCTGAGAATCATGGTTTGTAGCCAGCCCAGGCAGGAATGTCCATGAGACTCTTTTCTCCAATTAACCACCAGAAAAGTGGAAGTGGAGCTTTGGATCAAAGTGGTAGAGCACTAGCTTTGAGCAGAAAAGCCCATGGACAGAGCCTAGGCCCTGAGTTCAAGCCTCTTGGCCAACAAAAAAAAAAAAAAATGCCAGAAGTGGAACTGTGGCTCAAGTGGTAGAGCACTAGCCCTGAGTGAAAAAAGTATAGAAACAACAGTCAAGCTCTGAGTTTAAGCCCCAGTATACACACACACACACACACACACACACACACACACACACACACACACAATGTGGGGACATACAGGCCTGTGCTGCTACTAAGGGCATTCATTGTGGGTTGGCTATATGTGTTGGGGAGGGTCTGGAGCACCAGTGTATTCCCATAGGGTACCTGGTCCCCAGCACAGGCTGAGCCAGTTCCTTCCTGTCTCTGGGGGCTTCATGAGCAGTGGCAGAGCAGACAGGAAACATGGCTGGAGGTTGGAGCTCGTTTTATTTGAAATCATGTTTAAAAAGGGAATGGAAGTTCACAGCAGCATCTGGTCTTACGGGGTCAGAAGGACAGGAGCGGGTGGGGCCCGCAGGAGGTGGAGGCTCAGGGACAGCGCAGGAGCATGGGCAGCCTGCTGGGCATTCCACACTGGGCACGTATGCTGTGTGGGGGTGGGCTCTAAGGCAGAGGGGTGTGTCTGGGGGGGTATCTCCACAGCCGGCTGGCAGCCTTCTAGTCGCCTCCACTCTTAACCTGGAAGAAAGAATGACCCTCACAGCCCCCTCCAGGCCCTCAACCCTCAGTGGCTGCCCTGGAAGATCTCATCCTCAGGCCCAGGGCTGGCTCTACTGCTAAGTCCCTCTGAGGCTCTCCTAACCAGCTCCAGGGCTCTGAGAGGGACACAAGATCCCCATCCAGGAGCCTCCTGGTGAGCCCTGGGGATGCCCAGCTCCTTACCTCCTCAGCCACCTCTTCTTCTTTGGCTGCCTGGTCCTCCTGTGGCGGGGTAGGTTGCTCCAAGTCCTCCTGCAAGGGGCAAAGGCACATGAGGCTGAGAGGACTCAGAGCTGCCTGGCTAGTGGACCAGGGCCTTGTCTGCACTGGCCTCACAGATGGGCAGAGGCCCTGCTCTACTTGGAGAAGCTACAGGTGTGGGAGGTGTGGAGATCCATAGCTGGAGTAATCTCACAGTGCCGAGCCTTTTGGGGGTAACAGGTACCCCCCACACACACATAAACACACTGATCTCAAGCAATGAGCACTGTCTATTTGGGTCTCTTGATATGGGAGCCTGGGGTGTGTGTGGTGACAGTGGTGTGGCAGAGGAGGTGGGCAGAGGCCCCTGAATCACCAGCCCCCAGTGTAATCCTAGGTGCAGGGCTGTGTCATCACTTTTCACCAGACCTTGAGGCTGGAGAGAAGAGGCATTAAACTCAGTGACTCAGGCTTTATAGTAGAAATACTTGCTGGCATCAGGTCCAGCTTGCTCCAGGATCCTCTGTGGTTTTTTTTCTTTTGGAGGAGAGGGGTTGGTCATAGGGCTTGAACTCAGGGCCTGGGTGCTGTCCCTGAGTTTCTTTGTTGAAGACTAGCACTCTATCACTTTGAGCCACAGAACTACTTCTAGTCTTTAAGTGGTTAGAGATAAGTCCCATGGGGGCTTTTCTGCTCCAGCTTCGAACCTTGATCCTCAGATCTCAGCTTCCTGAGTAGTTAGGATTACAGGCGTGAGCCACCAGCACCCAGCTTACAGGGCCCTTAACCTTTGGTGGAATTATGTATAAAAGGGTGGGCCAGGTTCTCTAGGTGAAGGACAAGTGAGCCATCTTGTTAGTCCTGCTGCACCTCAAGGTTAGCATAGGAATCCTATGGTGTAAATGGCCAGGTAGCTAGAGTACCGACTCTCCCTCCCTTCCCCTACCCTTCCCTCCTAAAACCCCGCCCTCCTCCCCATTGTCATGATTACAACACACGAAAGACAACTGGTCGACCGCCATACCACCAGGGCATGTACCCCCTCCTCTCCCCCCCCCCCGGCTTGGCGGGAGGGAAGAAGGTCTGGGGATTGCTTTTGAGAGATCCTTAGAAAAGTCTCTTTGGGGGCTGGGCTTTTGCCAGCCTTACTCTAGGATCATCAAGCAAAGGGGTACTTGACATCAGCCCTAGTCCTCTTTTAGTGGGAGGTGGGGAGGAGTCTTCCTGGGGAGCTAGTGGGTTCTGCCAGGGTGATGAAGGTGGAGGTGGTAGTGAAGGTGGTGATTTGCTGAGTGCTCATTATAGGTCAGGCAGAACTGCTTCCTAGGGCCCACTTGTTTGTCATCTCCCACAACCCAATTAAAAAAAAAAAAAAGAAACGGAAGCCAGTCGCTGGTAGCTCACAACTGTAATACTAGCTACTGAGGAGGCTGAGAATTGTAGCTCAAAGCCAGCCCAGACAAGAAAAACTGTGAGACTCTTATCTCCAATTAACCAGCAGAAAACCAAAGTGGAGCTGTGGCTCGAAATGGTAGAGCACTAGCCTTAAGTACAAAAGCTGTGGAACAGTACCCAGGTCCTGAGTTCAAGCTCCATGATCAACATAAAGAAAAAAAATATATAAGAAATAGAGATCCACAGACATTAGATAGCTTCTCAAAAGTCACATACTAGGAAGGGGCTGGGCTAGGAATGAGTAGAGGGGGAGCAGCTGCTCGCTCCAATGACAAGAACACTCTGTGCTGGTCTTAGAATCAGACATCCAGTGACTACCCTCCAGGTGTCCCCGACCCTTGTTCCCACCCTCTCTGAGAGCGGGACCTCACAGTGCTGGTTATGCTGGACCTTCAGATACCATCTGTGACAGATATAGGGGCTGGAAATAGCTCTCACCCCACTTCCAGGCTCAAGTCCCCACTCTCTGATACCACCTAACATCACTGTCTCCAAGCACAGCAAGGACCTTGAACAGCAGAGACCTCCACAGCCACATGGATTAGCCAAGGCCAGGGGACACATGGGCAAATCTCTGGGCCTTCCTTTCCACATCCAGGCCGGTTTCAAACCACAATCCTTAGAACTCAGCCTCCTAAGTAGCTAGGATCACAGGTGTGAGCCATCAGTGTCTAGGTCCAATAAATGCTCTTATTGACAGCCATACACATGCATGCACAATTCACACACACACACACACACACACACACACACTGCAGATACGCATGCATACGGGCACACGTATATGCTCACACACACGTGCTCACACAAAGACCGCAGTGGAGGGTGGGGCTGAAGCCCTTGATATTTTTCCACCACCAGGGGGCACTACATCCCTGCTGCTCCGGGAGAAGGCAGCAGCCAGGCTGGATCAGGGATGGCAGTAATGACTAGGCAGCTCTGGCCTGGTGTTCACTGCCGGGGGTCCACCATTCACTTATAAAACATGGGGGCATCTTCTATACTGAGAGCCATGGAGCAGACTTTGTTTGAGTCTCAGTTTCTTTGTCTATAAAATGACCCTGAACTCCCACTCCAAGGATAACCCCTCTGCACACGTATACGTGTGCATGTACACACACACACACACACACACACACACTCATTCACTCATACACACCCCCTCTACTGGGTGTTGATTGTAAAGCAAACCCAGGGCTTGAATCGCTGTGCCCACATGTGTGGGGGCCGCCTCCTGCCAGCTGGGCTCCAAGGCCCAGGGGAGACATGAGCCCCTCACCTCACCTTGCGCACCACCCCAGTGGTGACCACGATGTTCTCTGCTTCCTCCACGGTCTTGGTGGCCACTGTGTTGACACTGGTGACCACGGCCTCGCTGACCACATTGGCCTGCTCCTTGGTCTTCTCAGCCACTGTGGGAGAACTCTGGTTGGTCCCCGTGCCCAGCTGGCAGGAGTTGGGCAGAGTTCTTTTCTACCCCACAGCTATGGCTCCTCTGTGCTGGGCCCTCGCTCATGAACCCCACCTGAGGGCGCCCTAGGACAGGGCCTGGCTCTGCCCATGGAGGGGATCAGGTATGGGGACACTCTGGGTTCTCTGGAAGCTGTGGCCCCAATCCCCACCCCCACCCCAGTCTACTCCCCACTGCCCTTAGTGGGAATGTAGGCATGGATGTCTCCAGGAGAGGGGTTCTGACTCTCCTTACGACCCTCCCCTGCCTGCTTCCTGACTCTAGGGGAGCTCTGCCATTGATTGAGGGGACCCAGAGCCACGCCCTTGTCTTGCTTTGGGGGCTGCAGTGGTCAGGGGCTATGTAGGAAGTAAAGGCATGCACTGTAAAGAGGATTCTAGACTTGGAGGGGTCTCAGGACCAGGACTCCGCTGGTTTGCGGGGGAGAGGGGGCATGCTGCTTACCTGAGGTCACACTCTGCACCACGTTCTCCTTGGTCTTGGCTCCTGAGGAGGAAATGGAAGTGTCAGGGCACATCTATCCCTGAGCAGCTGGACCAGCTGGGGGGACGGATAGCACGGGGGACGACAACCCCTTCAAAGAGCCACTTCCTGTTGGTTTGGGAGGACGGGGACGGATAAGAACGAGACAGGACAGGATGAAGAGACAAAGGAGCCCAAGGCTTGGGGGTGGGGGAAGGGACCCTGGTGGACCACAGATACAGACCCTGCCTGGGCATGGCCCGAGCCTGGGGCTCGGCAGTAGAGCAGTGCAGAGCTGAGCCATGGATTTGTCCTCCCCTCCTTTTCCATCCCCCTTTGGGTAGAACCCGGACAGGGGACTTTGGTGAGGGTAGTAACCTGTGGCCTGGCCTGGCTACAGCAGCTCCTATGGAAGAGGGTGTGGTCTACCCGAATACCGGGCTCCTCACAGTTGCAGGGTCTGGAGGCTCAGGGGACCCCTGCAGGCTCGTGAGTGCCTTTGTGCATGAGCAGCCAGGTGGTCAGCTGTGTCTGAGACCCGAGTGGCTCTCAGGGACACTCTGATCTGGAGTCCCTGAGGAAGCCAGAGGCAAGCAGCCACTGGTATGTGCCAGATGCTCTGGTTATTCCAGGATCTGGGGACCTGGACTTCAACAGCTAGGGTCTCACCTCTGTCTACATCGCTGCCTGGGGCTGAGGAGGGAAGTCAGGGCCAGGGAGCTGACATTCTGCTCACCCTCTTTGGCCGCCTGGTCTTCCTGCCCTCCCCCCTGCCCCGCCCTGCCACACTCACCCACATACATGACTCCCTCCTTGGTCTTCTCAGCCGCCTCTGTCACCCCCTGCTTGGTCTTTTCCACAGCACCCACTACGCCCTCCTTGGCAATGGAGAACCCCTTCTTAAAGACGTCCATGGTGGGAGTGAAGATGGGGCTAGAGGCTCCCCGGAGCTTCAGGCTGGACCGGGCGGAGTACTGCTGCAGCCTCTCGCCCTGCCGCTCTCTCTTATTGACGTGGATGAAATATTGATGCTGTGGTGGCTGCTGGGAGCCCAGCCAGCGCTGGGCAGGGTGGGGGCAGGGAGGGCAAGAGGGAGTCTTTCCCTCCAGTGGGACAGCAGAGAGCAGAGCCCAGGGCCCCCAGCTGGCTCGGACCTGACCTGCTGACCTCGTTCTCCCCATGGGGATAGGAGAGATTGAACACATGGCAATCCATCACTGCCCTGCTCATTCCTAGCCTGACTTCCATATGTCAGGCCTAGGGTGGTGTGTCTGGGCAGAGAGGGTAGGCATCTTGGCCAGTGCCCTCGGTGTCTCAGGTAGGGTAGGGCTCAGAATCATGCCAGTCAGTCCAGTGAGAGAATGACCAACCTCTCAGGCAAACCTGACTCCCCCACCCCCCACCCCAGCATCCTGGTACCTAGTTGGAGAAGTTGGGGGGGGGGAAGAGTACACAAAGAGCTGGGTTTGGCTGCTTTGCTGTGTGACCCAAGGTGGTTCTTTCCTTCTCTGAGCCTCCACCCACCTGCTGGTTCCCACCACCCAGTGCCTAAAAAGGCTGAAGAGGCATGTACCTCCCATGCCCACTTCCTGAACAGCCACGTGTGTGGGTAGCAAGTCCCTTGAGCCCAGAAGACCACTTCCCAATACTCCAGCTAAAAGCCTGTGTCCTTTTTCCTGACTCCCAGGGAAAAGGTTCCAAGAGGGACAGGTTTGGTGGCGACCAACCTGCCCACGTGTCGCCCACCTTCCTCTTGAGGTACAGGAACTGGCCTGCATGGTTGGCGGCCTCCGTGGGAGCCAGGCGGGGGATGGAGAGGGGGGCCGGACGAGGCCCACTGGGGTGGGCTGGCCCAGGCCACTTCCTCTCTTTGTTATTCTTGTGTTTTCTTTTCCTTCTGAGATTCAACTTGAGGACCACGTCACTGACAGTTTTGAGAGTCTATGACCAGGCTGAGCCTGAGCGGAACCAGTCCGAAGTCTGCTCTTGAAGCCAAGATGATCCTGACGCTGCTGCTGGGCCTCGGGGGACCCCTGAGCTGGGGACTCACAGGAGCCTGGGCCCAGGCCCCTGGAAGCAGATTCTCTGATCCACATGACCCCGGATCTTCTGGAGTCTCAGGGGCAGAAGCTGAGGACCCCAGCAGGGTCCCCCTTGGACGGTAAGGAGGGCTTGGAGTTTGGCCAAGATCATGGGGCATTTGAGTCTCAGCACAGCCTCTCTGGGCCTCAGTTACCCATCCGTGAAATGGGCCAGGCTAGCTGCTAGGCCAGTTGTGCCGCTGAGCAAGATCTCAGATGTCAGTTGGGCATTCCAGGGCCTGTCCGGAGAGTAACACGAAGAGCCTTACATGACCCATAGCAGGGGATAGAGCTTGGGCAGGGAGTGGTGGTGGGGGGGCAGGGAGGAATTGTGTCCACCAGCTGACACCCAGCATGGGGGCTCAGAGACTGTAGTTCTGGAAGCTTCCAGTTGGGGAGGCTCTGGTTCCAGGTCTGAAAGCTGAGCCCCAGCGAGGCTGACCCAGCCAAGGTCTTGGGGGACAGCTACCCTTCAGTCTGGGATTGTGGTCTGAGTGCCCAGAAGCCAGGCTGTGATGGCTGAGAGGACCCCCGATCCTCAGAAGACAGGGAGTCCGGGGGGGGCAGTGCTCTAGGGACCCTCTGGAAATGGGCAAAGTGGTCTTTTTTTTTTTGCCAGGCCTGAGCACTGCCCCTGAGCTTCTTTTGCTCAAGGCTAGCTACCACTTGAGCCATAGTGCCACTTCCGGCTTTTTCTATTTATGTGGTACTGAGGAATCGAACCCAGGGCTTCTTGCATGCTAGGCAAGCACTCTACCACGAAGCCACAGTCCCAACACTCAAGACTATCTTTCTGTAGGGACTTGGGCACCATTTTCCTGAATTCAAGCGGGGCCGGGGACCCCCACTCTGCCGCTAGGTTCTGGGGTGCAGGTTCCTTTCAGGGTCTGCAGCCACTCTGGAGCCATGAGTCATCATCAGAGCAGCAGGTACCTGTGAGCTGGCCTCCAAGCCTAGCATCTTGCCAAGTGTTTGCTCTGTAAATCTCCTCAGCAACCCCATTCATGGAGGAGTTGGAGGTGTAGGGGCTGGAGGATGGCTCAGCTGGTAGAGTGCTTGCCAGTGAGCATCAAATATCAAGTTCTAGTCCTGGTCTCGGACCAAAAAAAAAAATGGTTTAGAGAGGCTGAGTAACTTGATGTAAGTCACACAGCTGAGGAGAGCTGGGACTGGCTCTGAGGCTGAGTGAGTTTACAACTAGCCCTCAGAAAGAAGCATTTAGATATGGAGAGGACTGAGATTCATGCTCACCCACAGTCTCCGCACTGGGGCCCCGACAGGGACCATCCTGGGCTCCAAGGAGCACCTGTCTGTGCGAGGCTTCATTCAGCTTCCAGTTCTTCCACATGAAGGTCCCTTGTGTATGCTTCTCTTCCTCCTCCTCCTCCTCCTCCTCCTCTTCGTCTTCTTCCTCCTCCTCCTCTGCCTTTGCCTCCTCTTCTTCCTCCTCCTTCTCCACTTCTTCTTCCTCCTCCTCCTCTTCCTACTTCTTTTCCTATGCCAGAACTGGGGCTTGAACTCAGGGCCTGGGTGCTGTCCTTTAGCTGTCACTCAAGGCTAGCACTCTACCACTTGACCCATAGCTCCACTTCCAGCTTTCTGGTGATTAATTGGAGATAAGTCTCCCAAACTTTACTGCAATTCTCAGATCTCAGCCTCTTGAGTAGCTAGGATTACAGGTATGAGCTACCTTTGCCTGGCTTGGGCATTTTTCTGAAAGTGGGTTTGACCAGGGAGAAGTAAGAGAGGAGAATGAACAGTACATACCCACTCTTCACAAAGAAGGACCTGGTGGAGTGGGTAAGATGGAGAAATCCATCCTGCCCTGTGCCCAGTTCTGACACACAGTTAATTCAGTGGAGGCAATCAAGCCATGAGCTCTGATTTCAGGACCAAAGACCTAACTTCCCTCCCCAAAGCCATCGGCTCTGTGTCCCAGGCCCTGGACACCTCTCTCTCTCCCAGCCCCCCTTTGCTTTCTGTGTGTGTGCTAGTACTGGGGCTTGAACTCAGGGTCTGGGTGCCATTTCTTAGCTTCCCCCCCCATTCAAGGTTATTGCTCTACCACTTGAGCCACAGCTCCACTTCTGACATTTTGGTGGTTAACTGGAGATAAGAGTCTCATGGACTTTTCTACTGGGGCTGGCTTCAAACTGTGATCCTCAGATCTCCGTCTTTTGAGTGGCTAAGATTACAGGCTCCAGCCACCAGGCATCTGGAGTTTGAGGGGACCACAGAGGATAGGAGGAAGGATCCTTCTCCTGTGTCTCCCTCCTCACTTGGTTGTAGAGATAAATTGGACATTCTCTTAGCCCCAGGAACCTAGGGTTTCTCTGCCTTTCTCTGGGTGATCTCCACTCATGAAGATCTGCCCACTTGTACCCTTGGCCCAGGAATCCCCAGATATTCAAAAGGCTGCCACCGCTGCCTACGAAAGTCGCTTTCCCACAGTGCCAGAAACTGTGGAGAACTCCACAGGCCAAGCCCACAATGTCAAAGCATCCGGAGGAGCTGCTGAGAAAGGAAGGAAACACTGCCGTTTCCTGGGCTGATAACTTCCCCTGCTCCTTGGGCTGGTGAGGCAGAAATGCTGCTCCAGCCACAGGGGAAGGGGGCAGGGTGGGCCAGTGCACCTAACAGGGGCTCCAGCCAGGCTTCTTCCATGAATTTGCTCTTCACACCTATATCCAAGAGACAGGGAAGTCCTAGCTATAGACCTGCACACAAGCCTTTGGAAGGATAAGCTTGAACAAAACAGGGTGCTAGGTGCCTCGTGTCTCCAGATTGTCAGGTATCAGGGTAAAGAAGGGATATAATTAGCTGCTTCCGAGCCCCCTGTCCCCCCTGGAGACCCCTCAAAGCTCTATCTAGGAAGCCTGAATATTTGGACCCGATGGAGAGGAAGCAGAGTCTGGGCAAGGTGTCCCCTTCCTATGTTGTTATGATTGACAACTCAGTGGGGGCGGGGGGGAGGGCGTATAGTTGATATTGTTCCCAGTCATCAGCACCAGGCTTTGTTTTTTGTGCTAGGGCTAGAACTCAGGGCCTGGGCACTGTCCCTTAGCTATTTTTTTGCTCAAGGCTGATGCTTTCCCATGTAAGCCATAGCTCTCCTTTCAGCTTTATGCTGGTTAGAGATAAGAGTCTGTCGGATTTGGCTGCCCAGGCTGACTTGAAACTATGATCCTCAGATCTCCGCCTCCGGAGTAGCAAGGATTACAGGCAGGAGCCATCAGTCCCCAGCCTGGGTTCTTTTAATGCGAGGAGCGTTTGGGATGTTTACTTCAGGGAGCCTCTCAGTCAGAGGAGTCCAGCGTGTCACTAGAGGTCACACAGAAACAGGATGGAGCCCGGGCCATGATGTTTGGGCCATGCTCTGCTCCTGAACTTATTTTTGTCCTGGCTGTGGGGCCCAGAGTGTCATTAGAGAAGAGCTGAGGCCAAGGCTCCCAGCCACAGGAGCCTCCCCACATTCAGGGAAGCCCGGATCTGGGCTGGCCACAAAGTGGGCCTCGGGTTTCTTTGCCAATTTCTCTCAGGCTCAGGGACCAAAACTCTATGGGTGTGTTTGCCTTGGGGTTGTCATGCTAACGGCTTGATGCAGGCCTTAGAGTGTGGACTCTCCCACCCCCACCCCAGGAGGCGTTAAGGCCCTGCCCAAGGCAGATTTATTGACAGGCTGAGAGGCACTTAAGGACTCTGGCCAACCAGTAGCTACCGATCTATTATGCAGAAAGCACTGGCTGACAGGCCGCTCCCTGCTAGAGCCATCAGCTTTCCCTTCCCTCCTCTGTGTCCCCAGGGACACAGCTTCTCCACATTTCCAGAAGAGAGTGTGTGTGGGGGGGAAGGGGGTACTTTGTTCAAGGTCACCTGACATGTTGAAGGAAGGGGGTCAGCCGCCCCTCTTGTCTGGGTCA